ACTTACATCTCCTGTTACCAAGCTTTCCGACATGAACAAGACATTTTCACTATATTGATTGACGTGTGCTGCATTTCAATATTTTACAACGCTTTCGGTGACTAACGAGGAAGGAACACCGATCTTTATACAATGTTAAGTTTTACAGGATCTCAACACGATCCAAAAATTTAAAGAAATTTGATTTTACAATTTAAAACTTTTCTTTTAATAAATGATATGATCAAATTAAGTACCAAAAGAGGAATATGCTAGCACTTTAATAATAGCAATGAATAAAGTTCAAGTGTTAGATGAGAAAAATTTTGATAAGTAGAATGATTTTCAAAAGTTAATTCAATCAAAATTTTTAAAAAATAAATGATTTAGAAAAAAAAAAAGATGTAAGATCAATATAGTTTTGCTTAAGAATATCACATTTAAATGCTCTCAAAAGTGTTTTATTGAATGCAAAGTGAAACGATATTTATAGCAATCAAAAAGTCAAATATTTTGTCTAACCGAACGACCCACCCGGACGTCCTCATCCTGAACCAGACAGCCAAACTAACCATTGAGAGTCAGAATTCAGAATGGTTAAAAATTTGTTGTTAGACGAACCGGACATCTGATTGGACAGTATTTTTTCGAATTTTTTCTTTCTTGATTATTTTGAAAAATGTAGGCTTTTAAAGGACATCTTCACTTAATTTTTCTTTTTTCAAGGTAAGTGATACTTATAAAAAATTTAAATGTGAAGTTGAAATTCTTACATTTTGAAAAATAATTTTTATGCAAGCTTTTTTTACGAAGTAAATTTTCTCATACATAAAAATTCATCTTTTTAGCTTTTAATGGTTCATTGTTAAGAATTAAAGTATTTTATCTTTACATATGAATTCAAAGGATCTAAATCTAATATCTTCGATCAATTTGACTTGAATACTTGATTTATTCTTGTTTTTAATCGATTTAACATGAATGCTCGATTTCCATCTTGATTTTAATTGATCATCAATTGTGAGTCTTTTGTTAGCAATCTTTTTGTCTCCAATAGATCAACTTTTGCAACAATAATTATGAAGACTCGAATTCCAATGTTAAGAGGAAAAAAAACAATTTGTTTGTTATAATTAAAACAAGAAGTTAACCATATGTCAACAACCACGAGTTAATGAATTGTGAAGGACTCAGGTGTAAGAGCTATTTTGAGGCGAAAACGATACGGAATTGAGCAGGGAAAGGTTTTGGGGATGTGGGATTGGGATTTGAGGACGACTTGGGAAGTGGTGGAGGCGAACAGTGCAACGAGTCCATTGGATAGGTTAACCAGGAACTTGCGAGGAGACGTGGTCTGGATCTTGAATTCTACTAGTGAAGTGGGAGAGAGCAGGATTGGATTTGCATTTACCAAAAGAGATGAAGGAGCTGTAGAGGCTAATAAAGAGAGAATAACAGAAAGAGAAGTGAATGATCGATTTGTGAGTTTTAAAGAGAGAGAGAGAGAGAGAGAGAAAATCTTATGGAGAGAATAACGAGATGGATCTAATTAATGGAGAAACAAGTATTAATTAAATTAATAATTCATAATTTACATCTAATCAATGAATTTAAAACTCCACCCCCTTGTTTTTGATTGTATATTTGAGAGGTAAGTTTTTGGGTGGCAACCCTTTTAACAACAACTTTATAGGCCTTATTTAGTTATATGGCCCATGGAGTTTCAAATTTTTTTAAGAGGAAATTACACCAAGGCAGGTTTTTAGAATGTCAATTTCACAAATCAGGTAACTACTTTAACTTTTCAAAAAACAGGTTTTATTTTATTTTATTAAATATTAATTATATTAAACCTAATCAAACCTAAAAAATTTCCCAAATTCATTTTCTTCAGCAATCCGTCCATTATCTCACTGTTCTTCTCCTCCACGCCGCCACCATTTTCTTCAGCAATCCGTCCATTTCCCTCGCCTTCTCTGTGAAGCCGACGCCGCCTTCTCCTCTCCTCTCTGCGTAGTTTGC